TTTAATTCTCCCCCTTTTAGCCACGTCCATCCTGAAGAAATCCAAGCGACTAAAGAAGAACAATGTGGAGTTTGACCGGGTCACTGTGTTTTACTTCCCACGCTGCCAGGGCTTCACGAGCGTGCCCAGCCGTGGGGGCTGCACCCTGGGGATGGTGAGCAAACACAGCTCCTCCCGGCAGTTCACGCTGGCAGAGTTTTCAAAGGAGCAGGAAAACGTCCGTCGGGGCAAGCTCGAAGAGAAGTTGAAAGAGGAGAAATTGGAAGCATTGAAATGGAAAGTGAGTAGGAGCCCGTGGGGCTGGGTTGAGGAGGAGCTGGTGGATGTTGTTAGTTAATTGGTGAATTCTCATTGAAAGCCTCTGAGAACTGGGGGCATCAATCCTTAGCTCTCAGTTTGGGTCTCCAAAAAACACAGGCTCCAGTGGGGGATTTTCATTGAGTTCTCCACCTTTGAAAAGTGATGGAAAAGACACTTAGGACACTGCTCTTTTGGTAGTACCTCTCTATTCTGGSATCCACTTGTGACTCCTCTTGGCATTTCTGATTTAGACACTTGATATCCCAGKACACAGTGCCTGTCAGGGGTTTGGGGGCTCTGTTGGCCCTGGGGTTGGCCACCATGGGGCAGAGGTCATTCCTTTTGTGTTTCACTTGACCTCAGGGTTCTGATGGCCCTGARTCCCAAGCAAGCCCCTCATGCTCTGTCCATTTTTTGCCCTCAGCTAACCATGAACGGCACGAAGGAGTCYGAGGAGGCCAACCAGCTCACCATCGAGGACATCTCCGACGACGACATCGATGTCAGCAGCGTGGACCTGGAGGACGGCTTCTTCCTGCAGCCCTACCCCGCCAAGAAGAGGCGGGCGCTGCTGAAGGCCGTGGGGGTGAAGAAGATCGACAAGGAGGAGAAGCGGGAGCTGCACAGCATCCGCCTGTCCCGGGAGGACTGTGGCTGCGACTGCCGCGAGGTCTGCGACCCCGAGACCTGCAGCTGCAGCTTGGCAGGCATCAAATGCCAGGTACTGCCCTTGCCCCTGGGCACGGGGGGATGCCATGGTTCCCGCTGTGTTAGAACAAGTTGGACAAAGTGAGGGTAGCCTGTAAACCTGTCTGCTCTCACCTGCACTGGAAGATGAGGAAAGCTCTTGGGGCATCCCTCAGGCTGCAAGCAGATGCTGCTGGAAAGCATCCTCTTCCCAAATCAGGTGTGCAGCCATCCCCAGGCTCCCCGTGCGGAGCCTGCGGTGAGAATGTCCCCGCTGCRTGTCCCCACGAGACCCATACCTGCCTGATCTCCTGCTGGAGATGGGCCACGTGGCAATGTCTGCAAGGAAAAGCTGCTTTCTCCTCACACGAGGCTGCGCTTTCTCCCCTCCCCCAGATTTTTTTTTTAATTCTATTTTCTTTTGGTGTGTGGCACAAATCCCAGCGCGCTCAGGCGAACGTGGGAGTGTCAGCTGAGCGTCAGCCCACGGTGAGCTGTGCAGGCCACCTGCACAGTGGGATAATCCCTCTGTATTCAATCAGTTACATTTTTCGGGTTATTTTTTGTGGGCTCCTACCCAGCTGTATTTGGGGAGCCTCATTCCCTATTCTGGGCTTGCTTGGTGCTGTGTTCGGAGGCAGGGGGTGGCAGAGGTGGGTGCACATGGGTGCTCCATGTGTGTGTCACAGCCCCCCTCTAGCGGTTGCTGCAGATCAGATAGTGAGATCATTAAATAGCAATAAATAGAAAACTCGTTTTTGCCCCTTTTTGTATCCTTTTGRACCATCATATTTTCCCTTTTTTTTTTTTTTTTGGACTCTTTTAATTTTGTTCGCTTGTACTGAAATGCAACTTTTTATGACACCTCTTCAAAAGAGCAGGGTATTTTTTTTTCCCTTTTTTGTTTCATCTCTACTTTTAAACTCCTCAGCTGTAACTTGGTTTCTCAGGGCAGAGGAGTCATGGGTAGTTTCAGTTTTGTGCCGCCAGGTTCAGTGCTAATCCTCCCCCTCTGCCTCTCCCTGTGCCAGATGGATCACACCTCCTTCCCCTGCGGCTGCACCAAGGACGGCTGTGGCAACACCGAGGGCAGGATCGAGTTCAACCAGGCCCGCGTGCAGACACATTTCATCCACACCATCATGAAGCTGGAGCTGGAGAAGCAGCAGCAGAGCAGCGAGAAGGTGGTGGAGGCTGAGCCCCCGTTCCGGGAGCGGCTCCCGCCGCTGGGATGCGCRGCAGGGAAGGGCTCCCTGGAGGAGCGCGCGGTGCCGATGGCGCCCGCCTTCCAGTTCAGCCCCGAGCTGGAGGCCCTGGGCGAGAACAGCTGCAGCAGCGACATGACAGACTCCTCCATCTCCTCCCACCCCAGCGAGGACCTGGAGGAGCCCTACGAGAACCTCCCCTCTGACAAATCCCAGTCGGACGTGGACGACGACGGCTTGGCRCGCATCCTCCACTTCAACGACTCGGATGCTGAAGAAGAGAGTGGGCGCGGCCAGGATGACCTCGGCTGCTTCCACCCCGCCGACTTCTTCATCGAGGACCATGGCAGCGAGGCCAAGCCTGTCCCTGGCCACTTGTCCCACCTGTCGGAGTGCCTGGACGAGAATGCCAACCAGGACAGCGGGGGTTTGCTGGAGGACACGGCCCACGTGCGCTGCGATGGGCTGTCCTGCTGCGCCTCGTCCTCTGCCGAGCCCTGCTCCAAGAGCTACGCYGACCTCAGCCTTTCCTCCGATTCCTTGGATTTCTTCCAGTCCTTCTCGGACTATAACTTGGGACCCCTTTACAACTCCTTAAAGGAGTATGAGAACCTGGATAACTTCTCAGCGTTACAGTTTCAGTTGCCTAACTTCCCTGGCTTCCCTCAAGCCGGAGATCAGGGCTCCTGTTTCTTGGAGTCCCTCATTGGCTTGTCAGAATCCGTCCCYGAAACCCCAGCCCCTTTCACAGACAATCAGCTTTTGGAGGATGCCATCAAGTCGTCTCTGATGGAGACAGTGAAAGTGTGAAACACCCCTGTGATTCGGGCAAGGACTGGTGCCGAAAGGAAAACAGAGGAACAGTTGGACAGGCAAACTTTCACTGAAAGGGTGATGTGCTACTCAAATATAAGGAGATAAAAAACAGCAACAGCAAGAAGACTTTCTAAGCAAATTGAACTATTTTTGGTCTTTATAGAAAACRTGGACGTTTTGACATACTGCAGCTRCAATCAGTTCTCTCGCTGTTTGTGCAAAAATTTCTAAACTTTCATGATGGGGTGGGGAGGGAGGGGAAAAAGACTTTCACCTAAGAATTTCCTTGTGTTTTGTATGAAAAGACCTGTTGAGAAATACTCCTCGCTAACGTTGCCAGTCGTCCATACAGCCCTTTCTAGAAACGTTTCAGTGTTGCAGGAACTTTTTAAGGCAACTTTTTGAAGCTGTATTTATTGTGAAATTTTGTGGTTTGCGTAAGAGTCAACCCAACATGCTCTTACGTTTAAATCTGACGAGGTTTACAGAAGAAATCCACACACTATATACATAATCATTCTTCATCTATTTATTGCAAAATTCCAGAATTTAACTAGCCACTGAAGCTTGAACTAGCATGAAACCTTATTTAAATTGGGAATACCTCAGATGTATTATGTGTACAATCATATTTTTTTTGCATAATATATCTGTATTTATTTATTTTCTACCTGTAGTACGTGAATAGCACTGTGGTTTGTCGATGACCTGGAAGGGCAATAAGGTCTTCAAGAGGAAGATGACCCTGGTTTTTTCTGAGTCTGAATCATGTTGGCTGTTTGGTCTTCAATTCACATTTCTGAAAACGCTGAACAGAAGTAGGTGGGAGGGGAGGGACRAGGGAAGAGTTCGTGCAACATCCCTTGGTTTCTCCCAGCCTTGTAGTAGACATGAGAATGGTGTCTGGTCTCCATGATATCACTGTGGAGAGCAAAATAAGGAAAACCTTCAACATATTTAAGAAATAACATGAACTAACTCGAAACGAAACAAAAGCCCAACCCCSCTTTTTGTAAATTATTTTATAATTTATTTAATTTCCTAAGGATTTGGCCATGAGATCTTTCCCCATCCATTATGGTGCCTGAATATGCAGAGGAACTGCCAGCAGCGGTGGGGAGGTGTAACCATAAGGATCTTGGCAGCCCTCGTGGGGGGCTTCAGGAGAGCAAAGCCAAAACAGCAACTCAAACTCCTCAGCAAGTGCTCCTTAGGACTCCCCAGCACCGAGGATGTTGCAGCTCCAAAATCCAGTGGGTCACGCTGATTGTACTATTTTTTTTACGTTGGTGAATCAGGTAATTCAAGCAAACCAGATGGATATGAATTTTATTGGGTTATTTATCCTGTGAGTACAGTTTTTGAGGGAAGAAAGAACAACACCTGAAGACCGAGCTGAAAAACTCAAGGCTTCTGGTTTTTAAAGTGAGATAAATCGTGTTTAGGAAGGATACTGGGGGCTGCCTTGGCCTTTTACTGTTTAAATCAGTCTGAGAACATGACACTATTTGGCCACGAGATGTAACTGGACATAAAATCAGTGATACACTAAGTGCCTACACCAGTGGTATGGAAAAAGCAAAACGGATTTAAAACCTACCRGCTTTTAATTCCCCTTGGAAAATTCAGTGATGGGAGTGATTCCTGGCATTACCAGCACAGGAGGACAGACAGTTCTGCTGTCCCAGCCCTGYTGCCTTGGGAGCAGCTGGGGGGAACTTCTGGGGGTGCAGAGACACACAGACAAGGGAAACGACCCCAAAACATGGATTTGAGGATTTTTCTATTGGCTGAACAGTTTCTATCCCCAGCCACAGGGATGGTGCTCTTGGATGCCTGCTCATCGACAGGTGCCTCACTGCAAACCTGCCTGCAATTTAGGAAACTTCTGGTGTACGAAACATGGGTTGCTTGGGGTTTTTTTAATCCTTTCTATTGCTATTTAATTGTACATCTTCTCTGGTATTGAGCCGGTCAACTTGGAAGTGGAGCTGACCCCCCACGGCCACGAGCGGGTCCTGAGCCCGCGCTCGCCGCCGCTCCCGCCCGGGCAGGAGGGCAACTGTAGGAATACTACTGGCAGATGGAGGATTTCCTGGATATATCTATTATTATTATTATTTTTATTATTATTATTATTGTTTTTTGTTGTCATCATTGTTTCTTTAGACTGAAAAATCCTCTTTCAGTTATCTCCTAGGTGGTAGTTTCTTATCCTTCAGACTGCATCAAAAATGCTGACAGTTGAAAGTCTGGTACCGTTCTGTATTTATTGGCACTAATGTATTTTGTAACATTCCTAGGTTTCTCTGCATATATATATATTTATATATATAAAATATGTGCCTATATTTTATATATATATATATACACACACTTTTTTTTAATGAAAGATTGGGATTGACTCCTGCCTTTGTGGATTTTTTTCCAGTAATTTATTCTTTTTATTTGTGTTGGTGCCAAAAAGAAAAAAAAAAAGATTTTTTTCTCCTTTTTTTTTTTCCCCAGGGCACTGAATTGTAAATATATAATTTTTTTTTTCTTCTCGGTATCTGTGTAAAAAGTTGCCTGTTAAACAGTTTAAAAACTGGGTATTTATTGACACAATCTGTAATTATCTAATGTATTGGTTGAAACGCTTTGGTTTCAACATAGCTTTATTTTAGCTTTCTTTGTGTATATATTGTGATTACGTTGCTTAAAGGTACAAGTTAAAAAAAAAGCTTTATTTTTACCTTATCCATTTGCATTTGTTTATATAAAAAAAGCATATTTGTCTACAGCTGCTGTCTCTCATTTCATCAAAGCAATATGAAGAAATTTCCATTACACTTTCAATAAAAGAATTTTGTTTGAATATGGCAGTGTCTTCACCCACGTCCTTTGTGCAACTCAATAACCTTTTCTCTTTTCTCCAAATAAAGCAAAAATCAGTGCATAGGATGTGGTGTTCCCAAACTTTTTGGGCTTGTAGATGGTGGCWGCTTGTCTCTGTGGGATGAGGGAATAGACATGGCAGCATCCACATGGCCAAGGAGAAATTCTGGGAAGCCCTGGAAACCACTTTCCCTCCTGGGTWACAAACCATTTCTCACTGCCCCACAGCACCCTTGGGATGTGGAGGGGTTCAACTGGACAGGAGCATCACCATGGTCCCGTGCCCCTGGGGAAAAAACACAAAATACTCCCAGTCCTGGCAACAGCACGGAAAGAAGAGAGGAGGATGTGAAACAGCCCATGGTACAAAGAAAAAAASACAAATAAATCCCAGGAATCCAGATGGGGAAAAGCACACCTCTCCCATGGGTTTGTGGCTGTCAGCACGTGCATAAATCATAACCACTGCCATTGACCTGAAAGCAAGGGAAATTGGCCAGAGAATGCCATTGTCTAGTTTTCCATTGGGAATCCATTTTTAAAGGTTGCCATCTGCCCCCAGAGCAGAGAGGCTCAATTAATTGAATAAACTATTTGTTACAAATTATTTGCTGAGCTGTAAAAGCAGAAATGCTGAAAAGAGGCTCACCCATGGAGGCTCTGCAACATGCGGTGCAGCCCAGCCTTTTTAGCCACCCAGAAGGATGTCTGGTTGTGTTGTTTTTTTTCTTTTATGGGGTTTAGGTCCATAATTCCCTCTTACATTATCAGTTTTCTGACTGCTTCAGCTGCAGCGCTGGTGGGTTTTCGGTACTGGATTTGTGTCGTGCCCTGGCACACAGCATTATCACCCAAGGGGCAGTGCTGAAACATTCCCAAGGTGTTGCATCCATCAACCACCCTCTGGCATGGTCATCTCCATGGGGAATCACAGAATCCTACATTGCTTTGGGTTGGAAGGGATTATTTTAAAGACCACCAYGTTCAACCCCTCTCCGGATGCCTTCCACTTTCCCAGGTTGCTCTGAGCCTCATCCAGCATGGCCTTGGACACTTCCAGGGATGTGGCATTCACAGCTTCTGTGGGAAACCTATGCCAGGGCCTCACCGCCCTCACAGTAATTGTTCTCCTCCTAATATCTAATGTAAACCTGCCCTCTGTCAATTTAAAGCCAGCTTCCCTGTCCTATCACTCCATGTCCTTGTCCAAAGTCCCTCTCCAGCCTTCAGGAACACTGCTTTGGATGCAGCCCAGGACATGGCTGGGGCTCTATGGGCTGGCCATGTACATTGCCAGGTTGTGTCCTGCCTTTCATCATCAGCACTCCCAAGTCCGCCTCCCCAGGGCTGCTCTCAATCGATTTTCCACCAAACCTATGCTTGAGCTTGGGATTGCCCTGACCCAGGTGCAGGACCTTGGGGTTTTTTCCCCATCCCTTCCCAGTGACAGATTAAAACTCAAATGGGAACGTGCCAATAATTTACAATTCTCCAGTGCCCTTCCCCTAGGAAAGCCAAGTCARCCTCCAGGTTTGAGTGAAAACCTCAGCTCTGGCAAACTTCTGCTTGAATCCATGGAAAATGCTCCTGCCTGGGCAGAGGAAGTGCCTGTTAGAGTGACACAGGTCTCGAAGCCYCAGGAATACACCACTGGATGTTTTTATTACTTTTGCAGAAGACCTGAGACATTGCAGTGTCATGCTACTCAGACACACTTTAGAACCCTGCCCTTCTCCTTYTATTAGGCAGACAAGCGATGAAAAAAGGGATTTTCCCCCAAATCTCCTGCCTCCAAGGCAAACCCTCGGCAAGCAGGATTTGSCCCTATGGAAATGCCCTCAGCGCTGCAGAGCCAACACCCCTGCCCTCACCTTGCCCTGCAGTTCCCGGGTTTGGTTTGGTATTTTTGTTAGTTTTTTGTTTCGTTTTGTTGTTGTTGTTGGGTTTGGGGTTTTTTGTTTTTTTTTTTTGGTTTTTTTTTTTTTTTTTTTTTTTTTTTTTTTTACCCTGACGGAGTTAAAGTCCATCCCACCCGTCATTTTATAGCTGTTCCGGAGAAGAAAAGTCCTCGGGACTGATTCCCGCCCGGCGCCAGGTCTGCAGTCACCGGGGCTGGCGTCACAGGCTGTTCCTGTCCCCGGCGGCCCCGGCTCTCCGAGTGACTCACGCCGTGTCCGGAGGCGGCTCCGCCACCCGGGGACACGAGGGACACGAGGGACACGAGGGACAGAACGCTTTCGAGCCTGGTGGCTGCACGCACAGCCCGAGCCGTGCCGGCACCGAATGAGTAATGCCGTGCCTCCGGGCTGACTGTGCGCGGAGAAAGAGAAAGGAAATAAACGGGAATAAAGAGGGCGGCGAAGCCCTGAGCGAGGTGGGGAGAGCACGGACGGGTTTATTTGGGGCCGGTGAATCAGCGCTGCCCCGGGATGGGAAGGAGCGGCAGTGGCCGGTGCCAAATGGGACGGGAATGCCGACTGGGTGTCACCGGGCAGGGACAGGTCTGTGTGCAGAGAGCCGCCTGCTTTCAGCCCTGCCAAGGACGGGGGAAATGGTGGGTTGCAGCTGCTTTAACCCTTCCGAGAYGCAGCCCCGTAAGAGCAGAGTGGCCACGGCTTTAACATCAGCCCTTTGCAGAGAGAKCGTGTCACATCAGCCCGGAGATTCCTCCGGGGCTTCTCTGCCCCACACTTCAAAGGAAATGTAAACTCCYCTTGGCACAGAGGCGGTGATAAACTGCTGCTTCCAGGGCGTGGAGCTGCTAGGGAGCTGCTAGAGCACGTCCAGAGCAGCCATGAA